GGAGTAATCCCACCTGCATGGCCTGGGGAGAGCTTTCCTCCTCTCCTGGGGGCAACCTTGAACCTTCAGCAGCACCACGGGCTCTCCAATGCTTCCTCATGATGCCTCAATTGTTAGTTTTTGTATTTTTCAGATTCTGTGCTGCCTTAGTGTGTGGGGCTGGGCTTCACATCAGGGGATGGTGAGCTCTGTGCACAGAGCAGGGAGACAAAACAATTCCCGCTCCACCTGGGCACCAAGGACAAATGACCCAAATCTCAGCCCAGGAGCACAAACCCCGTGGGCTGGAGAGAGGAAAACAAGCAGGGTGGGACTGCCTGGGCTAAAGCTGGAATGGGACAATGAACTGCAAGGTGCAAATGGAGCAGAACTGATCAAGGGGAGAGACCCTGTGAGTGGTTGTGCATTTTGGGGCCATTTTAGTCCATCTTGGGTTCATTTTGTGCCTGTTTTGGTTCACCTTGGGCGCAGCCCTGGCTGGGCTCTTGTGCTGCCCAAGGTGCATCCATTGAGGAGATGCTTTTAATAAATCCCTGCTTTATTCTGTGACTCTGTCTGGCCTCTGTTCTAGGACAGGCATCGCCAGAACTTACGCTCCTCCAGCAGTCCAGGAGTCACCCTTGCTCCTGTCACCGCTGTCCCCATCTCACACAGGGGACAATTTATCCCCTGTCATTTGCCCTTCGCCCTTCCTCCTGCAGCTTCTTGTTTTCCTGGCTTGCCTCCTGAAGTCACAAAGGTAAAATGGGTTAAATGGAAATCACCTGATCCGAATGGGTTAACCGAGGGACAGCTGAAGAGCAGAGCGAGGCAGAAGAGGAGCAGGGTGTCAGTGTGAGACTGGGTGAGCAGAATTCCCTTGCCCAAAGTTCCTTTGTCTTTCCTTTGCTGGTCCCCCCCAGGCTGTGGAGAGGGGTGGTCACTTCTGTTGGGTTTTTATCTTGAGTTTCACTGTGTTAGCAGCGAGGTTATCACAGGTCTAAGGCCAGGGCTGGCAGCAGGGAGCTCATCTTGCTCCTGGCACAGCCCCCGGTGATCCCTGACCCCAAACAGGGACCGAGCAGCTCCAAGGGCACTGCAGGGAAGGTGGCTTTGAAAAACTCCAGTCGCTTGCTTTTTTAAATTTTAAAAGTTTAATAGTAATAAAATGGTTATAAAAATAGTAATGTAATTAGAGTGATAATAATTTGGACTATTTGGATTTAGGACAATACAAGACAATAAAAACAAAGAGTTACAGACAGTCCAGGCACCTTTTCTGGGCAAAATAAGCCCAAAAAAGGCCCCACGTTAACAGAGGATTAACCCTTAAAAGCAACAGCCTGTTGCATATTCATACACCTCATCCATGATGCATAAATTCCATTCAAACACAGGATTCTGTCTGGGCAGTGTCAGCTTCTTCCTCTGAATCCTGACTGAGTCTCCTGGGCTGAGTGAGGCGGGAAGAACTCGATAATGGAGCAATAAATTCTTTCTCTGAGAGATTTGGGTGTCCTGTGGCTGCTGTCTCAGTGTGAGTCCTTTCTTTAAAAAAAGCATCTCACATTGCATAGTTTCTATTTTAACATTATGTTATACCCTAAAACTGTATTTAACACACTACTTAAAAAATTAACACAGCATAACATTCTAACACAACACATACAGTATTCACTTGAATATTTGCAAGAAGCCAATCATAAAATAGGCATTTTTCACCGTGGCCCAGCCGAGGGTACGGTGGCAGGGCTGTGCTGTGGGTTCTCCGTCCATGGATTCTCTGTGCCTGTAGATGGCACCTTTTCCTCTGCTGAGGAAGACGGAACAAACCCAAAGAGGGGCGGGAACAATTTCGGAGGGGAAATGTGCTCCGGCTGTGTGGCATGAGGAGACCCAGGGTGGTCCCACAGGTGTCCCCCCCTCACTGTTGATCCAAATCACCTGGATCGTCACTGAACCCTCTCCAAGCTCAGGGAAAAGCGCTTCCAGCTGCTCCAAATGGGATTTTTTACTCCCGTTATTAACCCATTGTGGCCTTAACCGGCCCAGCCGGGCACTCTCGGTGCCCCTGAGAGGGGACAGCTCCTTCTGGCCCCGCCTGGGGACAGTTCTGCAAGGTCTGGGCTGAAAAGGTGAGCCCAGTTTCTGCCCCTCCTGCCGTCTCCAGGAGATAAACTTGAAACCCAGCACTTCTCTATTTCTAAATAAAAAAGCAGAACAAACCCAGCTGCTCTTTCTGTTCTTTTCTTCTTCAGAGAGAGAATTCCAGCGCTCCCTGAGCTTTGCTTGGCTTTCTCACCAGCCTCCTTCACCCAGAAATTCCTAAAAAAACCAACGTGATCCCAATATTGGCCCTAAAATCCTGTGTGAAATGGACCTGGAAATTAATTTCACACTGGAAAAGCCAGCTCAGTGTCAGCCGCAGCACAGGTGGCGGTGGAAAAGAAAACTCCAGGATGGCTCTAGAAATTAATTCTGTGGCTTGGATGGGAGGGAGCTGCCACCACCCCAACCCACCCTGCACCTGGAATGCCGTGGGAGAGGGAGGGTGCCCCCATTCCCCTGTTGCTTGGGGTCTGGGGGGACAAAATCCCCCCAAAAATGGGAGCAGGGGGCGTGGGCTGCTTGTTCCTGAGCACAAAACAGCCCTGCACTTCTACACAGCTCTTATTTACTGAAAAATGAAAAGAAAAAGGGACGGTGGTTTGGGAAAGCACTTCCAGGGACCCTTGTGGGAGACTCCTGTGTGAGGAAAAGACTGATGGCAGCACATTCCACGGGCTGCTTGTCCCTGCAGACCCTGGAGGCCGTGGCACAACGTGCTCCATGGCAAGCAGAGCCAATCCAGTGCCCGAGCAGGGCAGGATTTTGCACATTTCTGTGCTTCACCTGCTTTCCGTGCGATATTTCATGTGTTTAGAGGCAAATGGTGATCCCAGCTCTCAGAGGCAGAGAGGGAGAGAACTGGATGAGGGAATGCTCCGAGGCTGGGTGGGAAACGAGAGGGGGAGCAGCCCTGCAGAACAATTTCAAGGTTGAGTGAGTGGTGCCAGGAGGCTGCGAAAGGCTCTGCCGAGCTGCTCTGTGCTCACAGGCAGCGTGGACAAGGGAGGGCACGGGATCTGCCTCCAGAATAATCAGGTTTGCCTGTGATGGGGCTGGGATAGCAGGGAGGGTGTCCCAGCCCTGCAGGGATGTTAATTGTGATCCCAGCAGCATCTCCCTGCTCACAGAGCATCCCTTTCTTCTGCTGCTGCCCCTTTCCCCAGCCCTGAGCCTGTGGAAAGGCACAATTCCCTCGGGCTGGCTCTCAGGGCACCATGGATTGCTCCGGCCTGGAGCTCAGTGAGCTCTCTGAGCCTGCACACTGCCCTGCCTGATTGAAACCGGCCCTGACAGGGACGTGCAGAGCACAGGATACTGAATTCCTGGGGGTTTTGTGAGCCTGGGCACTGAAATCCCCCTTGATGGGAAAGGCTGGAGGCTGTTTTCCATTGGGAATGGGAGCCCAGGACAGGGGGAACTCAGCCTTGTTAGTGGAGGTTTATGAAAAACATCCTCAGACCAGTCAGGATGTGCGCAGAAATCCATGAAGCCAAGGCACAGGGACCTGGCAGAAGAGCAGAGCACAGGATACTGAATTTCTGGGTGTTTTGTGAGCCTGGGCACTGAAATGCCCCCAGCTCTCCCTCTCCTCTTCAATGGGAAAGGCTGCAGCCTGTGTCCCATCAGGAATGGGAGCCCAGGCCAGGAGGAGCTCAGCCTTGTAAAACATCCTCAGACCAGTCAGGGTGTGAGCACAAATCCATGGTGCGAAGCCAAGGCACAGGGACCTGCCGCAGGAGAGGTGTGCACCTTTTAAAATCAAAATCCTGACCTGAATTTTTCAGTGAGACATCACCTGTGCAAAGTCACAGCAGCTGCAGGCACCCGGGCCCGAGGCACACCTGCACCTGTGGTTCTGCTTTGGTTCCTCCCTTTTTTGGGGCGTTTTCCCTCCTCCTTAACTCGCTGGCTCTGTGGGGTGAGCACGGCACGAGGATGGAGAGGGCAAGGAAGGGATGAAGAGGATGAAGCAAGGAAGGGATGAAGAGCCCAGGGGGGACAGGAACCCCCCAGATCAGGGTGCTCAGAGCCCCAGCCAGGTCACACCTGCGCCCTTTGCACTCCTGGTTGACCCCAAGGTTGGTTCCTGCAGGAGCCTGACCCAGCCCAGGTGTGATGGGAGGGAATCACCTGCCAGCACCTGAATTGGCTGCAGGGAGCTCATTGCATTCAGCTGTTTGCCAGAAACTGTGGGGTTTAACCCCAAAGCAGCCGTGCCAGGGCTGCCAAGTGCCTGCAGCTGGGCCAGCTTTGGTGAGCTTTGGTGTTCCTGGTCCTGCCCAGCTTAGGGAGGACCAGGAGCAGAGCAGACCTGTGCCCAATTCCAGCCAATCAACCCCAGAGCTGTGCTAATGGTGTAATTAGAATAATTAAGGCTTAATTACCCCCTCCTGACGCTGCTTTGGGGGTATTTGCCTGCTTGTTCTGCAGGAGGTGAGTGGAGGGGAAGGGTCCCAGGCTATGGCAGGGGGGTGGGATGAGCTGATTTTTAATGTCCCATCCAATCCAAACCATTCTGTGATCCCCAGGCAAGGCTCTAGGAATGGCTTTAACAGCATATATTGTGCTTATTTAGCATTTTAATCCAAAACGGTTGTGATGGGGTGGTGAAGCTCCCAAAGCCCTGCCCTTTCCTGGGATCCAGGAGTGTGGATTCACCCCTGGGTGCGAGGCTCGGTGTCACTGCAGGTGCATTTTGTGGCATTTCCAAGGCGGCAGGAAACGGGGCGAAACGGGGGCGTTTGGCCATTTTCCCCAAAACTGCTGGCGGGAAGGTCTCGGAACGGGGGGGCACGGAAGGGTTTGGCGGGGATGGGCAGGTCCAGGCTCCGGGGGAGCAGCAGCTGGGCTGGAACCTCCGTCTGTTCATCCGTCCCTCTGTCCGTGTGTCCGTCCGTGCGTCTCTCCCGGCAGCCGTGCCCGGATCGCTTTCCCCGCGCTCATCCATCATTCATTTCCCCGCTCCGAGCCCTGCCAGCTGCTCCCGCGCACAGGTCAGAGAAACGACAAATATTTAACGACAACAAAAAAAAACCCCTTTAAAAAAAAACCAGAGAAAAAACCCAACGCGAACGGAACGCGCCGAGGCGGCGGAGTTGAACTTCGCGCCCCCGGGATGAAGTTGGGCTTGGGCAGGCGGGGGCGAGCGGGGATTTTGGGGGCCGAGCGGGGATTCTGGGGGGCTGGAGGGGTCGGGAGGGGGGCAAGGAGGAACGGGTGCCCAATTGCCGGTGCCGAATTGGCGGTACCTGGCGAGGGGCGCTGCGCCGCCCGCGTCAGTGCATCCCTCCCCTTCCTCCTCCTCCTCCTCCTCCTCCTCCTCCGCGGCTCACGCAGGGCGCAGGGGGGGCATGGGGGGTCGCCGCTGACACCGGGCTCCGAGACAGCACCGCAGGTAATGCCCGCCGCTCCTCCTCGGGGTTCATCCACCCGGGTGGGATGCGGGGGATGCGGGCATCACCCCCTTCCCTTCCCTTGCCGCGTTCCCCCTTCCCAAACCTCGCCGCCTTGCTTTAAACCAAAATAATCTCTTGTAGTGCTCTCATTGCTGTTATTTCGGGCGGGGGTCGCGCCCAGCGCCGCGGTTCCTTTGCCCAATCTTTGTCGCTTTTGCCCAAAATCCCCGCTGTGAACGAGCGGCGGTGCCCGCTGTCCTGCGCCCAGCCCCGGCTCCCCGCCGGAGTTCGGGATCTGCCGGGAGAGCCGCAAAGTTTCTGGGACGAGCGGGGCTGGAACTTCGTCCCGGCCGTGGGATTTTCAAATCCCCTCCCAGCATCGCATGGGGATGGGAGGCGAAGCCCTGCCGAGCGCCAAACTTGCCCTGAGCCTTTGGAGAAAACATTTTATTTTATTTTATTTTATTTTATTTTATTTTTTCCCCTCTGATTCTTTACTTGCTGCAACCCTCAAAACCTGCAGTCCTTCCTCTCTTTACATTCCATTCTGTCTCTTTACATTCTCTCCTTCCCCACATCGCCTTTCCCAGCCATCGGCTGGAGGAGAGGGATGCTGGAACGGGACGTTCCCTGCCCTGATGTGCGTTTTCTTTGTTGTTGGGCTGCGGTTTTCCCCTTGCTTTTTTCCCTTCCCTTTTCTCTTTTTCCCCCCTTTTCTTCCATTTTTCCCCCTTTTTTCCCTTTTTTTTCCCCTGGCAGCGCTGGCTGCTCACACCAATCCCGGGATCTCCCCGGAGCATCCTGCAGGAGCCCGGGATGCTCCGTGCATGTGGGATGGAGCTGCTGCACTGAAACGCTTTAATTTTAATATTTTTTTTTGGTATTTTTTTGGGGGGGTGTGAGCCGGGGATGCAGCATTCCCGTGGGAAAATCCAGCTGGCTGTTTCGGCAGAGTGAGTTTTACCTTTGTGTCTCCTTCCCTGCTGTCCTGGGGAAGGAGAGGAGGAGAAAATCCCTGTGCAGTTCCATTTTCCTTCACTGTCCTGTTCCCTCCCTCCCTCCATCCCCAGCACAAAGCTTTCTTTTTTTTTCTGAAGGACTCGTGAAAAATACAATGTTTAAAGCGCAAGTTGTAAAACGTTATCTTTGTGGGAAACCGTAAAAATTGACACTGCCCCTTCTTTTGTTTTATTTTTTATTGTTTGTTTGTACAATTTTTTTGGCGATAAGTGGGAGCAGCGATGTTTGGATGAGGTGGGAGCCGGGGAGGGCTCCCAGCCCTGTCCCTTTGCTCAGGAGCATCCCCTGGGTGCAGCACCAGAACCATTCCAGCCGAAATCATCTCCAGAGGGATGCCCAGGGCATGGCAGCTCCTCTGGGCAGGGAAAAAGGGCAACCCTGCAAATCCTGAAAATCCTGCCATCCTACAATCCTGCCATCCTGAGCAGCTGGGGGGGAAAGGACCTCCTGAAAAGGATTCCCTTTGTGAAGTTTCCTAGGTGCCCGGTGCAGATGGTCAGGAGCGCAGGTTGTTTTTGGATTTAAGGAGCTTTAGGCTGTGGGGTTGGCCTGTGGCCCCTGGTTGGGGTGTGAAACATCCCAGCTGCTCGCAGCCAGGCTGGCTGAGCTGCAGCATCAACAGCTCCATGAGCAACCCAAAACTTCCCTGCTTCCCCCACTGCTTCCTCCAGTCACGCTTCTAATATTGCTGCAGGAAAAATAGGGTCATTTTTGGGCTTCTGTGGCCCAGCACCTACAAAATTCCTGCCTCTGTGCTGGTGGTGTTACCTGACTCCATTTCAGGGTGTAGAAATTGAGAGGAACTGGCAATTCCAATGGTTAGGACACAAATCTTGCCGATGTCCTGGATCTTAGCAGGGGTTTGGTGAGGACCAGGGGCTGGGGTAGCATTTATCCATGGGATTGTTGCTTCAGTGTGGGCAGGAGATATGGGGTGTTTGTTCATGGACTTCTAATAATGTTGCAGTAGAAATTGGGGCTTTTGTGGCCCAGCACCTAGAAAATTCCTGCCTGTCATCTGACTCCATTTCAGGGCATAGATTCTGCATCTGAAATGGGAAAAACTGGGAATTCCAATGGTTAAGACCCAAATTTTGTAGGTATCCTGGATCTTAGCAGGGGTTTGGTAAATACCAGGGGCTGGGGTAGCATTTATCCATGGGCTTGATGCTTCAGTGTGACAGGAGATGTTTGTTTGTGGGCTTCTTCCACTGAGGAAGGAGAAATTGGGTTATTTTGGGGGTTTTTGTGGCCCAGCACCTACAAAATTCCTGCCTTTGTGCTGGTGTTGTTACCTGACTGCATTTTAGTGTGTAGATTCTGCATCTGAAATGGGGAAAAACTGAGAATTCCAATGGTTAGGACCCAAAAATCTTGCAGATATCCTGGACCTTGCCAGGGGTTTGGGCAGGGGGGGCATTTATCCATGGGCTTGATGTTTCACTGTGGGCAGGAGATGTTTGTTCATGGGCTTCCTCCAGTAAGACTTCCAATAATGTTGCAGGAGAAATAGGGTCATTTTGTGGTTTTTGTGGCCCAGCACCTACAAAATTCCTGCCTGTCATCTGACTCCATTTCAAGGTGTAGATTCTGCATCTGAAATGGGGAAAAACTGGGAATTCCCATGGTTAGGACCCAAATCTTGCAGATGTCCTGGACCTTGCCAGGGGTTTGGGCAGGGTGGGCATTTATCCATGGGCTTGATGTTTCATGTGGGCAGGAGATGTTTGTCCATGGGCTTCTTCCAGTAAGACTTCTAATAATGTTGCAGGAGAATTTTGGGTCCTTTTGGGGCTTTTGTGGCCCAGCACCTACAGCCTTTGTGCTGGTGTTATCTGACTCCATTTCAGGGTGTAAAAATGGGGAAAAACTGGGAATTCCAATGGTATAGGAATTATTACGCGGTTTCTGTGGCCCAGCACCTACAAAATTCCTGCCTTTGTGCTGATGTTGTTACCTGATTGCATTTCAGGGTGTAGATTCTGCATCTGAAATGGGGAAAAACTGGGAATTCCCATGGTTAGGACCCAAATCTTGCAGATGCCCTGGATCTTAACAGGGGTTTGGTAAAGACCAGGCGTTGGGGTAGCATTTATCCTGTTTCAGTGTGGGCAGGAGATGTTTGTTCATGGGCTTCTTACAGTAAGACTTTTAATATTGTTGCAGGAGAAATAGGGTCCTTTTGGGGTTTTTGTGGCCCAGCACCTACAAAACTCCTGCCTGTGACCTGACTCCATTTCAGTGTGTAGGTTCTGCATAACGAACTGCTGTCATTAATCCAAATAACTTCATTAACCCAACAATCCATCCCTGCTGCCCCTCCTTGTCTTCCCATTCCCTCCCTGCTCTCTGGGGCTGCTCCTTGACACTGAGGTGTGAAAGCAGCCAGGACTGCTTGGTTTGGATGAGGCAAGAGATGGCCTGGGAGCCTTTGCAGCTCTGCTTCATCAGCGTGAAGGGTTTTTTTTTTTATTTTGTTGTATTATTTCACCCTTCTTCCAAAGCATCCCTTTCCCCCCTGTGTTTTGAGGAGCTAAAATTCCAGTTACCATAGGCCTGAACAAAACGGCCCTGCTGCTTTTCCTTAGCGCTGCAAACTGCCAGCCTGGAGCTTGGGGGCAGCTGGGGGCCCTAAGGGAGATGGGATGAAATCCCACAGATAGAGCCCTGGGCTTTGCTGCGTTGATTCCCAGTTTTGGAGCAGCCCAGGAGCCTCTTGGCTTGGTCTCCTTGCCCCATCCCAGCCCTCCTCCTGGCTCAGGAGCTGCTGCTCCAGCTGAAGAGAGGTTTTGGGATGGAGAATGGTTGCTATGATGCCTATGGTGACTAGCAACCAGTGCTGGAGGCTCCCTTGAGCCAGTGCTGCCCCACTTACAAGGGAAGAAATTGGGAATTCCTGCTTTTCTCTGCCCAAAGTGAAGTTTCCCTCGCCGTGGAGGGGTGGGTGGCAGTGCCTGATGCAGCAGGGAGTGGGGGCTCTCTTCCCAAAGCTCCCAGGGTGTTATTTTAGCACCCCACGCATGCAGCAGTTGAGTTGGACGCATTATTTGGCTTTTCCTTGGAGATGCCACAGGTGTGGTGAAAGGTTTGAATGTTGCTTATGCAGAGCTGGGGGGTTGTTGGGACTGTCTTGTGTCAGGGGTTTGGAAAACCCATGGCATTCCCCACGTCATTCCCAAACCCACATCATTCCCCATGTCATGGGAAAAGCCATGTCATTCATTCCCAAACCCCTGGCATTTCCCAAACCCATCTAATTTCCAAGCACATTTCACTCCCAAACCCCGTGTCATTTTATGGGAAAACCCATGGCATTCCCCACCCCATGGCATTTCCCATGTCATGGGACAACCTATGTCATTTGTTCCCAAACCCCTGACATTTCCCATGGCATTCCCAAACCCATGTCATTCCCCATTTCATGGGAAAACCCATGCCATTGCCCAAACCCCTGTCATTCCCCATGTCATTTCCAACCCCATGTCATTTCCTCTGTCACTCTCCAAACTCCTATCATTCCTTATGCCATTTCCCAAACCCATGGCATTCCCAAACCCCTGTCATTTCCAACTGCGTGCCATTTCCCATGTCATTTCCCAAACCCCGGTCATTCCCCATGTCATTTCCAACCCCATGTCATTTCCTCTGTCATTCCTCATGTCATTTCCCAAACCATGGAATTCCCCAAACCCCTGTCATTTTCAGCTCCATGCCATTCCCCATGTCGTTTCCCAAAGCCATGGCATTCCCAAGCCCATGGAATTCCCCAGACCCCTGTCATTTTCAGCTCCATGTCATTTCCAACCCCATGTAATTTCCTCTGTCATTCCCCATGCCATTTCCCAAACCCATGCCATTTCCCAAACCCGTGCCATTCCCAAGCCCATGGAATTCCCCAAACCCCTGTCATTTCCAGCTCCATGCCGTTTCCCACGTCATTTCCCAAAGCCGTGGCATTCCCAACCCAGGCCCAGCCTTCCTGCAAGGACTGGGCAGCTCAAAGCTGGCATTTCCTCCTGGGCCTGGGTTTTTGGTGAAACGATGGCTCAGTGTCCTTCTGCAGCTAATCTTTGTTTTCTGTGGGAAAGCAAATGTCTGGAAGCACCAAGCAAAATACTTTAATACTTCCACTCCTGCCCTTGGTTTAAAATGGGAATAAACTGCTGGAAGTGAGGGAAACTTTTGGGTGTTAGGTAAGGAGCAGCCCCAGCTTTTTCCCTGGAGGAAGAAAGGTTTCAGTGCCCCAGCTGGGGAACGCAGAGCGTTGTGGGGAGAAAACATTCCTGTCTCAAACCTCAGCTTTGGTTTTGGGGTGAAAAAAGGAGAAAGAGAGAGCTTTCCATGTTCTTTTCTCCTGCAAACTCCCTCTCAGGTGAGTGGTGACAGGTGCCAGCAGCTGTGTCCCTTATTCCCTGTGGGAATCCATATTCCCCCTCCCCTGTGCAAGCCAATACCCTGGCCTGTATTTATTTAACAGGGAAATTTTATTTCCTTTCGCCGCAGGGAATAGAAAGCAAAAAAAAAAAAAAAAATTAAATAAAAAAAAAGAAGGGGGCAAATTTTTTCACTGGGAACAAATCTCATTTTCAAGAGTCCTGACAAAATGAGCCATAAAATTACAATATTTCAAAGTGCTTTGTAATTCTAGCGTGGATGGCTCTTCATCATGGAATCTGAAAGCTCAGAAAATATAAAACTCATTAGATTAAAATAAACCACCTACCGCACAGGAGAAAAGCTTATTTATCAATATCAATTTACTTCTGATTACCCTGTTCTGCAATTTGTTATTTTTGGGAATTATGATTTGGGTATGGCTCACGCCAACATGGGGGTGGGAATAAAAAAAAAATAAAAATCAGGATTAACTTGTAATTTTAATTTTTTTTTATTCTGGATTGTGCTTATTGTAAAGCCCTGGCCAAGAGGCAATAATGAGGAGAAAAGGTGAACTTCTAGCAGTGCTGTTTTTGAGGAGCAGAGGGGAAGCAGGAGAGGCTGGTTTTTTGGTGTGAGGGGTGATGTTAGCCATGTGCTTGGCCAAAAGGGATGCCAGGGGTGGTTTTTTGGGATGTGGGGTTGGTGGTGGTCCCTGTTGGGCCAGCTCCTGGCTGCTTCTCTCAGGTGGCCCCAGTGATAGAGGAAGCCTGGGATATATTTTATGAAAAATATTTTTGCTAGGATTTTTTTCTCCTGAGAAGCTGAGAAGCCTCAGAATTAAAAATCCTATCAAAAAGATTTTTCGTGAAATATGTCCGTGACACAGCCAGGAACATCCTGGTGACACCTCAGGTATCTCCACCCCACCTCCCACATCCAATCCTCTGGGAGGGCCACTGCTGTCCCTCTTTGGGACACTTCATGGCAGGAAAAGGGCAGTTTTTGGGGAGGCACCCCCAGTTCTCTCCTGTGAAACCACTTCGGGAGGTTTGATTTACGCTTCCATTCACGGAGCGAGCAGATGGAATCCTGAGGCTTGAGCAGCTTTGGAAATCATCACTTCTTTGGAAATTCTGAGGCTGGAGCATCACAGGGCTGTTTGGGGAAGGGAAGGCCAGGTTGTGGGTTAAGGAACAGGGTTTTGGGGGTGCCAGAGTGGAGCAGCTCTGCCAGCCAGGCTGAGGGAGGGCGGCTCGGGCGGAGGCGATGCCGCGCTCTGTGTGTTTATTTTAAAATTTATTTATATTTTTATTTATTTATATAAATTTTATTTTAAAATAAACCAGTCCAGGTGCAGAGCCTGGCAGCGCTGTTGAGGCACCCCAAGAGCTGGAGCAGTGAGGAGGCTCCTGCAGCATGGCCTGGATGCAGCAGGTGGGATTTGCCACGTTCAGGGATGCAGCAGTGCTGTTGAGGCAGGGAAAAAGCCACGAAGGAGGAGGCACTTGGAGCAAGCAGGCTGAAACACCTCTGCTTGAGCTGATTTGCTGAGCTTTGAAGCCCTGGATTTGTTTGCACTGTGGTGTTTCCTCAGCCTCCCATCTCTGGAGGCTCTGTGAGCAGAGGGGAAACCTCTGGTTTAACATCAGAGCCTTGGCAGGCAGGAGGAGAGAGCACCTGAGCTCCCAGGGACATTGTCATGCTGGGAACTGCACAGAGTGCTTCCTCCAAAGAGCCTCTTTCAGGCACAAGGTGCAATTTAATCTGCTCTTAGTCACAATTTTTTAAGTTCTCCCCAGAGACTCCTGGATCCCGTTCCTTAAATGTGCAATATTCGAGTGAGCCATCTCGAAGAACCAGTGAAGAGCTGCAATATTAATGAAGACAGAGAAAATCAAAATGACATTTCAGGCAATTACTGACATAATGAAGTGACTGACTTGGAATATCCAATATTTAGATTTATCATGGCACTCGAAAGGGGATGCTGTCAGCTGCTTTTATTCCTACATCACATAAATTGTTTCTCCACTGCCCTGGTGCTTTTTAAACACGGGCTGTGAAGCTGGGAAATCATGTTCACGCTCACTTGGGCTGATAGTGGTGCTGCTTGAGAAGAAAGTTAGTGTTTTCCTCTGGCATTCTGGCACTGCAGAAAGGCACGGGAGCTCATTTTCATCTCATCCTCCCTGGCTGCAGCACCAAGAGCTTGGGCTCTGCATTCTGGGCTGGGTGCAGGGCTCTGGAACAAAGATGCTGAGGTTTCCACCTCCCCAAAACCTATTAAAGCAGGGGGAAAATTGAGATGTTTGGTGTTTTTTCTTAATCACAAGAATCCATTCTGCTTCGCTTGGCCAAATGCAAGGATTTAAAGGGCTTGTCAGGATGCCTGGCTCCGGGGAAAGTGGCCATTTTTTCGTTTAGAAACAAAACCAAAATTGGGCGTTTGGATGCTCTGCTGACACTGAGCATAAGTCAGCATCTTATTGTGGGGAGGAGGTTTAAACTCTTCAGCCCTGGCTGTGTTTTCTGCGGTGATGGGCATGATTACACCTGAATGTTTTCTCAGGCTTGCGCTGAAATACCTGAAGGTGCACAAAACACACCACAGCACCGTTTTTCTTGTCTAGGCATGAGACCTCTTCATCCCAGAGAGACTCTCCGTAGCAAAATAGCAGGAGAAATTAGAATTTCAGGCCCTTTCTGCAGTGACAGAGTTGTTAGGAGCTGTCTCCTGTGACACATCCATCAGTAAAAATAAAATAGGTGTAGCTGTGGCTTTGGAGGTCCTTCAGGAGGGTTCCCTTGTGTGGTATTTTTGGGGTCCCCCAGACAAAGAAGGAATTGAGAATTTGACTCTAAGTGCTTAGAAGGCTAATTTATGATTTATATTTATTATTATTTGTTTTATTTATTATATGTACTTATATTAAATAATATTATACTAAACATTATGTTTTGTCATTGGGCATTGTATTGCACTGGGTATTGTATTTACAGCAAGAATTGCTAGGAGAAGAAAATTCGTCTGTTGTATCAAGGTGGTAATGGTTATGTTGCCTTGGGTTACTGCTTTTGAAAGTATTTTCTAACTCTTTTTAATCACTAATGAATCATGTAATTTTATTATTTTTTTGAGCATTTTTAAGAGCTTAAATCAAAACTAAGGCAATTATTCCACTTCTGTCAACAATATTGCCAAATGCAGTCCTTATGGTAATCTCAAGAAAGACAGTTTGCCAGATATCCCATTCTGGTGCTTGATTAAATGGTGCCCCAATGAAGGCAGGAATGATGAATCTGAGTCCATGTTCTCAGAAAGCTGATTTATTATTTTATGATACTATATTATATTAAAGAATGCCAAATGAAACTATACTAAAGAATACAGAAAGGACACTTACAGAATGCTAAAAAGATGATAATAAAACTCGTGACTCTTTCCAGAGTCTGACACAGCTTGGCCCTGATTGGCCAAAGAGTGAAAACAATTCACATGAAACCAATGAAACAATCTCCTGTGGGTAAACAATCTCCAAACACATTATTATGCTCTATTATATTAAAGAATATTATACTATACTAAAGAATACAGAAAGGATACAGACAGAAGGCTAAAAGGTAATAATGAAAACTTGTGACTCTTTCCAGAGTCCGACGCATCTTGGCCCTGATTGGCCACATGAAACTAATGTAACAATCACCTGTTGGATAAGCAATCTCCAAACACATTCCACATGAGCACAACACAGGAGAAGCGAATAAGAATTGTTTTCCTTTTTCTCTGAGGCTTCACAGCTTCCCAGGAGAAGAATCCTGGGCAAAGGGATTTTTCCAGAAAATGTGACAGTGGGGAAGCAGAAAGGGAAAAATGGAGCCTGTCCAGCAGGTGAACCCTGGTTTCCATGCCCAAGAGGACATTGGAAGCAGAGCATTGATGTCCTGAGGGCTCCCGTGTGGCACAGCCTGCACCCTGAGCCTGGTTTAGGGACACCAGGTCACATCTATCTGTTCTGGGTTTGACAGTGCCTCTCTTGTTTGACAGGAGCCATGAAGCACCCCGTGGCTGCTGCTGCTGCCCACCTCCTGCCTGTCCTGCTGCTCCTGGAGCTGGTCTCTCCAGGTAGGTCTGCCTCTGCTTCTCCCTGCTTGGGGCTGGGGTTTGGATTTGCAGAGTACAAGGTGGCGCTTGCTGTCTTTGTGGTGTGAAAAACACCAATCACTTGCTTTTTTAAAATTTTAAAACTTTAACAGTAATAAAATGGTTATAAAAATAATAATATAATTAGAATAATAATAATTTGGACAATTTGGATTAGGACAATATGAGACAATAAAAACAAAGAGTTATGGACAGTCCAGGTACCTTTTCTGGGCAAAATAAGCCCAAAAAAGGAGCCACGTTAAGAGAGGATTAACCCTTAAAAGCAACAGCCTGTTGCACATTCATACACCTCATCCATGATGCATAAATTCCATTCAAACACAGGATTCTGTCTGGGCAGTATCAGCTTCTTCCTCTGAATCCTGACTGAGTCTCCTGGGCTGAGTGAGGTGGGAAGAAGTTAGTTTCTTCTGACAATGGAGCAATAAATTCTCTTTCTCTGAGAGATTTGGGTGTCCTGAGCTGCTACCTGGTGCAAATACCTCATCCCTTTCTTAAAAAATATCCCACATACATGGTTTATATTTTAACATTCTGTCATAATCTAAAACTATATTTAACACACCACTTAAGAAAATTAACACAGCATAACTTTCTAACCCAACACATGCAATATTCATTTGAATATTTGCAAAAAGCCAATCATAAAATACACATTTTTTGCAGTGGTCTCCTGGTGGACCTGCAGAGCTGCGCTGCTGGGGTGAAGGCGTGGGGGTGAGCAAATCTCCTGCCTCCATCAGATCTTTCATTTCTCCATCCCAGGAAATCATGGGGACCTGCACATCATGCTCCCAATTTTCTTGCAGCCCTTACTGGCTGCACCCAAGACCCTTCTTGGGAGAGGGTGGACTGGAAAAGCCTTTGGAGAAGGGTGGATCTACACAGAAGGGGTAGATGTTTCTTGGGGTATCTCAATGAAAAGCTGCTCTGGGAAATTTCCAGATGTGGATTGACCAAGGCAGAGCTGGTGCTGGACCTGGCATGATCAATAAAACCTAAAGCAAACTGGAGGGAGGCAGGGAGTTATCACAGGCAGGGATGTAAACCAGAAGCTTGTTAGCTGTGTGGCAGCAGAATATCACTGGCAAGGCTCTCCCCCTGCTTTCAGCAGCAAAATGATGACTTGAACTGTGCTTAAACATGTGCTGGGGAGGGGGAAATCACTCCTGCCCAAGCTGCAAAACCTCTTTTCTAATTCCAGCTGGGGGAAAGGCAGGGTTTTGGGCCAGAAGAGCCTCCACAGGAAGCTTTTCCCACTGATGCTCTGGGTCTTTCCTGGTACGGGGAGGGAGCTAGTGGGACAATGGCCTTTTGGTGTAGAAAATGTGCCTTTTGGGGCAGGTTTTGGCACATCACAGGGTGCACAGGAGCTGTAAATGTGCAGCAAAGCCCCGTGAAAATTGGGATTTTTACATGAGTGGCCTATCCCCCCTGGGTGCTGGTGTGGGGACAGGGTGCCTGTGTGGCTCTTGCTGATAAACAATAGCCAGAGTGTGTCCCTTTGATAGCAGCGTGCCCTTTGGAATAACGGCTTTTTTTGCCCTCCTTTCCCCTGCTGAAGGCTGGAGATGGCTTGCCCAGATTGGCAGGCTGATGAGGCAGCCAGTGGATGACATTAGCTGTGAGTGACAGGCGCAGTCAATCTCCCTCCGGTGTCGGCTTGGATCAGGGACAGCCTCACTGGAGCTGCAGCTCCTCTGCAAAGGGAGCAAATAGAGAAAAAGCAAGTCCTTTACCTCCCTGAGAGGTCACCTGCCACTCTGTCCCGTTGGAACAGGACGTTGGAAGTGGGGCCTGCCAGCCCAGCTCCCTCCTAGCAGTGGCAAACTGCACAGGCTTTGCATGGAGCCAGGGATTTGGGGGCTCTGCAGCTCAGCAGAATTCCAGCTCTTCTCTCCCAAACCCTGCCCAGGGCTTGGGCTGCCATCTCTGTGATAAGCAAGTGCTGGGCCTGGGACAGGGATGAGGGATGGGTGCCCTGCTATCACTGGTCGGGGCTGTGTACAAATCACAAATCTCATTACATGGTTATGACAATGGGAAGATGCCACCAGCTCACATCCCCGGCAGCAGACCAAGAACTTTATGTTACAACTCACTTTATAAGTTTTTTGACCAATCACACAAAGCAAAAGCACATTGACAGTATTTATATCTGTATAGTATATATTCTATATTGACAGTAGTTCTATCCAATCATCATAAGCACACGTACCTTTGGCTAAAACAATGCTTGCTTATTTCAAATACAATACCTGCTTGTAAGCCTTAAAACACAACGCACAGAGCTCCATTATTAAGCTTCAACCTTCCTAATATCTTGCTAGATAAACTTTTCTGTAGCTTAGAGAGTTACTATAGACAAGCGTTAATACACAGACCATTGTTCTATTTGTCCTTACTTTTCTACTTTTTACATAATTTTTTATGTAAAATAATAATTGCTGACCAATCTCATAGCTGCTGCTTAGCTCTAATCACAGTTCTGCTGTCTCTGAGGCTACCTTTTGCAGATTTCCCAAAACTTTCTGATTTTGTAGATTCTCCCACCCTGCCACACATCCTGGGCACTGCAGGTGATGGAGCAGCTTTTCTGGGGAATTTGCAGGCAACCCCAAAAAGGGAGGAGATGAGAATGTTGACTCCATGTTCTCAGAAGGCTGATTTATTATTTTATGATATATATTATATTAAAAATGCTATACTAAAGAATAGAAGATAGGATTTCACCAGAAGGCTATCAAAGAAAGGAATGAATAATAAAACCTTGTGCCTGCTCACAGCCTCCACACAGGTGGCAGTCATTGGTCATCAAGTAAAAACAATTCACATGCTGGGTAAGCAGTTCTCCAGATCACATTCCAAAGCAGCAAAACATGGAGAAGCTGAAGCTGCCCAGGAGAAAAGATCCTAGCGAAAGGATTTTTCAGAAAATCTGTCCGTGACACTCTTGCCAGAGGTTTGCAGAGCTCCTGGTGGAGCCATGGGAAAGTGGAGGCTAGGTGGGTTTGGAGTGTTTGCAGGAGGTTTTGGGACAGGTTTTGGGACAGGTTCAGCTCTGGGGTGGCAGTGGAGTCCCCCTGCTCCTGCCTGCAGGAGATGAGCAGAGACCTCCACCAGCCCAGCTCTCCCTGGAGCCTCCTCCTCTCCAGTTTCCCATCCCAGAGGAGCCCCAGCACTCTCAGATCTCCATGGCCCCCTCTGGCAATCTGAGAGGGAAATTCCAGCTGTATCCTGGGATTTACAGCCCAAAGCAGGGTCCTGCCCCCAGACCCTCCCTCAGCAGCCCCCAGGGCCAGGTCTCCCTGTTCCCAGAGCACACAGATCCTGGAAGCCTCCCAGCACCTGCTGCAGCTGGAATTGGAAAGTGCAGCTTATTTTTAGCGTGCTGGTGATATTAAGGGATGTGTTTTGAGACAGAAATGTTTTGCAGAAGCGAGTCCTGTGTGCCAAGGGCTGCTGGGGGTGTTTCAGGCTCGTTTTCCCCTCCCAGAGCCTGCTGGCCCCAGTGGCAGCAGTGACAAGTGTGCTGCCAAGCCCCTGGAGATGCCCTCAGCTCCCAAAGAGCCCACTTTGTCAGGTTCCTTTCTATTTTTTCTTTCCAGGTGCTTAACTCCAGAGGCTGGGATTTAAATGTGCCTTTGCTGCCTGCAGTGCTCTCCCATTTCTCAGTGCGTTTAACCAAGCTGGTGCCTCAGGAAAGAGGGCAGTGCTGAAAATCCCTGCCTTGTCACAGAGGGAGCCCTGGGGGAGCTCAGGCTGCTCCCCCGTGTCTCCAGGAGCTGGTTTGGTGGGATGCACACCTGGGACCTGTGTTTGAGAGGTCTCAGGAGCATCCTGGGAGCTGGGCAGGCCAAGGGGCTGCTGAGGTTTGGTGTGTTCTGCTGTGCTGGGATGCTGAGCACGCCCTACCAAACCTTCCTGGGAAATCACCGAGCGATTTCCTCTCCCCGCGCCTCTCTCCCCGCAGCAGATCCCGCCTGGCTGCCTCTCTCCCTGCCTTTGTCACTCTCCTACGTGTTCTGCACTTGGCCCTGTCCCCTAATGAGGCTGCGGGCCAGGGGCAGGCCCGGAGAGGGAGTGGAAGGGAGCGAGCCCGGTGATTAGAGGTGAAAGGAGGCAATTAGAGGGAAAGGCAGCCCGGGGAAGGAGCACGGGGCTGTGCTGGGGTGCCTGACGAGGCGAAAGGCTCTCAGCTGTGGGAGCAAAGCAAAGGTACTAACTGTGGGCTAAAGCAGTAATTGATGCTCCTGGCCCCTGTGCTGTCGGCCTTCCTCCTCCCCTCTGCCTTTTGGAAAATACCAAATATCCAGAAAGGCTGGTGCAGGGAAGTGGCCCCCCTGCCAGTGAGCATTCCCAAGCCCTTCCCAGCCTTGGGAAATGTTGCTGTGTGATGGAATAGCCTGTCCATTCCAGTTCCTTCCCCAGGTGTGCCAATCACCTCTCCCTTCCCCTCCCTTTCCCCCTTGCTGAGTGCTGTCCATGAATCTTGGCATTCCAGCTAGGGCATCGTGTAATTGGCAAAGTTCAAAAGATGCCTTACACCTCTTGAGGGACATTGGGCCATCCAGGTGTCATTTGTCCCCTGGGACTTCCCTGCTTATCTGGTTGGTGGCTCCCTACCCCTTCCCTGCCCCTCTCCCTGGGAATGGAGCTGGTGCTGCATTCAGAGGCCTGTGGGCCAGAATAAAGCTCTGTATCCAAACCCTCCACCAGAACCGACTCCTTTCCTTCACCATCCCCTTAAAGCTTCTCCACAGAGGGAAACCTGAGGAGTGGCCCCTCTTAAGGGAGGAGGCTCCATCCCAGCACCCCCAGAGCTCCTGCAGGCCTGGCTTTGTCCCCATGGGCCTAGCTGTAACACCCAGCCAGCCCAAAGTGTCTGTGGGGTGAAACACCACACACCCAGCCGGCCCAAAGTGTCTGTGGGGTGAAACACCACACACCCAGCCAGCCCAAAGTGTCTGTGGGGTGAAACACCACACATTGCACAGCCAAAAGTCTGTGGGGTGAAACACCACACACCCAGCCAGCCAAAAGTGTCTGTGGGGTGCAACACCACACACCCAGCCAGCCAAAAGTGTCTGTGGGGTGAAACACCACACACCCAGCCAGCCAAAAGTGTCTGTGGGGTGCAACACCACACACCCAGCCAGCCAAAAGTGTCTGTGGGGTGAAACACAATACACCCAGCCAGCCAAAGTTGTCTCTGAGGTGAAACCACCACAGCTTCTGCTTTTGGTCAAGCAGCAAGGCCCAGACCAGCCCAGGCACGTTCCATCCGGCAATATTGGTATCAAATTGGAAATAACTCCTTGTTTCTGTCCTCTTCCCAGGTCAGGGCAATCGCCTGCCCTACTTCATCAACTACTTCTTCGACACCTACCTGCTGATCAACGAGGACACACCTGTGGGTAAGTGTGATGGGCACAGGCTGCCACCACAGCTTGGAAACGCATGGAAGAGGAATGTTTTTCTTTGATGGACAGATGGAGCTTTTCTTTCCTTGCTTTCTTTAGCTGGGGATTGGTTTTTAGTAAATGCAGAAATCGACCCAGGCTCTCAGTCCATTAAACTTGTGGTCTTCAATCAGGGCTCCTGACTGGACTTTAATGGGAGAGGAATTGATTGGGAGGCTGGCATGGAGCCTCTGGAGGTCCCTTTCCCACCTGGAGCCTGAGCAGCACCTTCCTGAGGGAAGGGCTCTGCACCCACATCCCCTTCAGGGTTGCACTCCTATTTTGTCAGAAAATAGGGAGATTTCCTCCAGCCTTCCTTCCTCCATGAGACATTATGCCAGTCAAGTCGTTCTTGGAATTACTTTGGCAGTTGAATTTCTTTAAATTTTTTTTTTTTAAAACTTTGTGTTGTGCCGTGTGCATGTATATAATTGACTCTTAAGAATATTGGCACCTTGAGATTTTGTTTCCGGAGGGAAATGTCAGCCTGGGAAGTGTTGACACACACAGTTGTTTCTGTATTTCCTGCTGTTGGTAGGTGTTTTCTGAGTTAAGCTTTATTAACTTAAAAAAAACCAAAGGTAACATCTGGAAACACCTTTCTGATATCCTGAGTGTGAGGAGCAGAACTGTGTGTGGTGCCTGTTTCCTGGGGAAAAAGCAAAAATTGTATTTTTTAAGGTCTGTTTGAGCGCCCATGGCTGCCTGCAGCATCCCCTCCCTGCAAAGCAGCAGCTCCCTGCCTGCTGCCTGCCATGCCAAAAGGGATCTTAAGCAACAATTAAGAGATCATTCCCCCTCTAATCACTTACAAGAGTAAATTAGTCTTGTCAGGAGCTATTAAGACAGAGAGCTCGGAATTCATTAGGCGAGATTGGGCCAGGGGAGCTGCTGGCGCTGCCGCCGGTCCAGGCTGATTAATTTCTCCCAAAACATCATCAATGCCCATCTGTTTCATTTAGGTCTGGGGAGAGCAATTTTCAGGTGGACTGACCCTGTAGTCAGTTATTTCACCCAGAAGTAATGGGAACACACACACACACATGTGCAGAGGGAGCTGGAGGTGGGAGCTCTGGGGAGGGAATTGCAGGAGGATGAGGAGGAGGGAAGGGGATTGGTTGGGTTGTGGTGGCATGGCAAGACATGGAGAGCCCATTCCAGCTGCCAGCAGCTCTGCCACCCTGTGCTTTACTTGGAAAATGGGAGCACTGGCTGGATGAGACCCCCTGGGAGAAGAGTGTGCAGGAGAAGGACTGTCCATCTCCATACTGCTACTGTTTGCCCCAAGCAGAATCATCCCAAGGGCCATTTTACTTAATCCCAGACATTCCTAGAGCTGGGAAGGTGGCCCTGCTGCCATGGGGGTTTGCCAGCAGCTGGGTGTGCCATTCACATTCTCTGGAAAAATCCCTTCCACCCAGGGTTTTTCTCTTGGGAAGCTGAGAAGTCTCAGAGAAAAATGAAAACAACAATTATCTCATTTGCTTCTCCTGTGTTGTGCTCATGTGGAATGTGTTTGGAGATTGTTTACCCACAGGTGATTGTTTCGTTGGATTTCAGTGTGAGTTGTTTTTACTCTTTGGCCAATCAGTGCCAAGCTGTGTCAGGGCTCTGGAAAGAGTCACGAGTTTTCATTATTATCTTGTAGCCTTCTGTCTGTATCCTTTCTGTATTCTTTAGTATAGTATAGAATTCTTTAATACAATATAGTAATATAAAATAATTAATTAACCTTTTGAGAACATGGAGTCAGATGCATCATTACTGCCTTCATAGGTGGCCCTGTGTCACTGTGATATTTTATGAAAATCCTTTCACTAGGATTTCTTCCTGAGAAGCTGAGAGGCCTCAGAAAAGAAATGTAAACAATAACTATCTTATGGCTGTGGAATGTGCTCTGGCTGTGGTTTACCAACAGGTGCAGCTTTGATTGGTCTCATGTGAATTGTTTTTAATTAGTGACAAATCCCAGTCCAGCTGTGTCGGACTCTCTGAGTCAGTCATGAGATTTTATTATTCTTTTTCTTCTAGCCTTCTGATGAAATCCTTTCTTCTACTCTTTCGTATATAATTTTCTTTTAATATAATATATATCATAAAATAATAAATCAGCCTTCTGTAACATGGAGTCAAGATTCTCATCTCTTCCCTCGTCCTGGGGAGCCTCAAGCTCCACCCCAGCCCTGCATTTGCAGTGGCTGGGAATGGGCAGGCAGCACTCCAGGCTCCTCCTGCTCAGGGTCCCTGCTGCTGCTGCTGCCAAAGGAGCCTCTTCTTAGCATAATGTAATGACTGCAGTCTAATTGCCCAGCAAATGGATTTGCTGTGAGCAGGACAGGAGTGGGGAAATGAAGATGATCCATCATGTCAGCTCTGTAAGTAGCCTTATAACCACCTAGCCTGGACTCAGCCAGGTTCAAGCTCTGAAAGCTTTCATGCCTCGACGCCTCGCAAAATGCGTGACAAAAGAGGCCCTTCAGACGAGGGCAATTCCACTTCCCTCCATCCTAGCGAGAACATTTCGGAATAATGTTGTCTTAGGAGAGTGGGAAATGCTTCACCCACTGCACTGGAGGTGATAACATGCACATGGCCCTGCCCTCAGGCCGTGCTGTGTCGGGGGCACGGTCACCCAGGTGGGGACAGAGTGTCCTGTTGGGTTTGTCAGGGCCCCAGGACGAGGTGAGAGGTGAGAATCTGACTCCGTGTTCTCAGGAGGCTGTTTTATTATTTTATTATATATTATATTATGCTATAATATAATATAATATAATATAATATAATATAATATAATACAGCATAATATAATATAATATAATATAATATAATATAATATAATATACTGTAACTATAACTAAACTGGATATACTATAGCTATATATAAAAACTATATTAAAACTATGCTAAAGAATACAGAAGACTATACTATATTAATATATAGAATTATTAATATACAATATTATATTACATTACATTACATTACATTACATTATATTTACATTACATTATAGTATATTATATTTACATTACATTATATTACATTATGCTATACCATAACTGTATACTATAACTATAACTAAACTATATATACTATAACTATAACTATATACAAAAACTATACTAAAACTAGACTAAAGAACACAGAAAGGATACAGACAGGAGGCTTAACAGCAGTGATAATGAAAAACTTGTGGCTGACTCCTCAGAGCCTGACACAGCTGATGGTGATTGGTCGTGAAGTAAAAAACAATTCACACGGAACCAATCAAACGTGCACCTGTTGGTAAACACTTGCAATCCCAATCCTAACAAAAAGAACTAACACATCCTAACAAAAAGATTGGTTTCACATGAAACCAATCAAACATGCACCTGTTGGTAAATGATCTCCAGCCACATTCCAAAGCAGCAAAACAGGGAGAAGCAAATGAGATAATATTTCCCTTCCCTTCCCCTTTTTCCTTTGTTTTTATTAGGATTGCAAGTGTTTGAGACGGTATTTTGTATTTAGATTTAGACATTTATTAGTTTTTTATTTACATCACAGTCTCACAAGCTGTGAGTTTACACTATTTTGCTAACAAGCTACAAAACAATTGCTTATCTATCTTTACAAGGTTTTTTTTTTTAAGGAAAAACCATGTAATTAAGAAACGACACTTAAATTATTTTTATTTTAACCCAATAACTAAACTCTTAAGCCAATAACTATCTCGTAATGCGGATCTTGTTTAATTACAATATACTACTCAAGAACTACTACTCAAACTCATGAAGAAGATGAAGAAGAACTAGCTACCAACCTTAATATCTCAATCTTAGCTTTAAATATATTACTATACCCTAAAACTTTAAACTCTACGTTTTCTACTACGCTTCTATTCAAGCTACACACCTATAATTTCAGTTCTGTCAATTTTGGAAGCTTTCTCTACAGCCTCAGGTCAAATGCAGTGTTCTCTTGGGGATCTTTGAGCACAGAAAATCTGAAATTCTCAGCATCCAGGGTTCCAGCAGCTGCCTCAGCACCACAAATTGCCCTGGGAGCACAGGGAAGCCCCAAGTCAGCAGGTGCCGGGTCAGGAGCAGTGACAAAAGCAGTGAGCAGTGCCATGCCCAGTGACCTGGGCTGTGCCTGCTGCTCCCTTTCCCTTGCCTCTGGCTCTCCCAGGAGCCCTGGGCTGTGATCTCCATCCTGGGGTGCACCGTGCTCAGGGAGATGGATGGGTGGATGGCTGACAGGGAATTTCATGGTTGCTCTGTGCAACTTTTGCTGAGCTGGCAAGCTCTGTGGTCAAGGATATTTCTGCGCTAAATTTGAATAGGCAGAGCTGAACCTTGCTCTTTGTAAGATCTGCTTGAGAATGGGCTCTCCCTGTGCCCCTGCAGCCCAAGAGGAGTGGAGGACCACTGAAGAGTGGCTGCACTTTGGTGGCCACTAAAGGGTTTAGGTTGGTGTGTGACACCTCGTGCCTGCTGGGACACCATTATTTCACCATTATTTCTCAATAATTTCACAAGGAAACCAAAGAGGAGCGTGGTGTTCCACAGGCAGGGTGACTCCTCAGGTGGATCTGAGGCAGCATATCCCTCTGATATTTGTGGATTATTTAATTTAATTCTCTGTCCTAGGCAAGGACTGGCCTGTGACCGTGTTCACAGGGGTCTGAGGATGAGGGAAGAGACGAGGATCTGACTCCGTGTTTCAGCAGGCTGATTTATTTTTTTATTATATATATTATATTAAAACTATACTAAAAGAATTGAAGAAAGGATTCCATCAGAAGGCTGGCTAAGAACAGAAAAGGAAAGAATGATAACAAAGGTTTGTGGCTCGGGCTCTCTGTCCAAGCCAGCTGGGCTGTGATTGGCCATTAATTAGAAACAACCACATGAGACCAATCACAGATGCACCTGTTGCATTCCACAGCAGCAGATAACCATTGTTTACATTT